AAATGATAAGATGGCAACACATGCCAATTATCTAAGTTGCAGACTGGACAACAGTTAGTTCTTTTCATATTCTGGGTGTACAGCCAGCTCACCAAATACATGCCCCTAATCTTACTGACCAAGGACAGGCAGCATCTTTATATGTATATTTGAACACAAAGCCTTTTTCAAGCCACTAGACTGCATCGTTTGCAAAAATCTACAAAAACAAGAAATTATATCTCATTTAGCTCTTATCTTCTTCAAAGGTCAGGGTGAAACTTCGCAGTTACTGTCCAAGATTTTTCACTCTTACTGTGATGTTAACAGTGTGATCATCCACTTTAAAAAGGGACTGTGACATTGACTAACTTTTTTTGGCCCAATGATAAGGACTTCAGTTTTGTTTATCCGGCAATAGTTAATTAATGGCTTCCAGTAATTTCTGGGTTTCCTGTTTTATTTCTGATTCACATTGGTTCTGAAAGTTAACCCTTATCCAAGACCTACTGTTTTTTGGGCATATTGAAACTGGTACTAAGGTTTCTTTCTGAGGGGAGTTATCCTGAGAAAACGTACTTTTCTTTCTTGTCTTCTCAATTTTCCAAACATAGCTATTATGATATTCTGTGCAGTATGGGGTGGCTTTTTACTTATCAATAGTGCCAGGAATCTAAAACCATTAGAAGGGTTACAAACAGGCCCATCACTCAATCTAGCTAATGTAGCTGTTAATATATTAATCTGGGGACACTGAATTGCATCTGATGAATACATGTTTCATCATCAAATCTGACCCATCTGATTCCTATCTTTGTGATGGTTGTGCATGCCTGTAATAAGGAATAAAACAACTCAAGATTTGATTTATCGATAAACACTTGTTTCCTTTTTGTGTTGCTTTTGGATTCCTTTTCCCTAGTTTACAGAACCAATACTGCCTGCAGATAAACTTAGTCCTTCCCCTGAACTATGTAATCCTTTGTTTCTAATCTATCACTACATTTCCTGCTTGCAAAACTCATCACAGTGATAGTGTTCATACCCTCATCAGACCAGGGTTTGCAAAATGTACATACATGTATCTAGGTACCTGAAAGAAAGGCTTCACAAACCAGAGCAAGGTTGTGAAAGGTCAGGGGGCCTGCCTAGTGTGAAACACTTGGTTGCAGCATTGTGAGCGTTGCATGTTAAATGGTATTGGCTCATTAAGAGCACTATGTACTGTCATTTAAAAAATAATAATGCACATGTCTTTTGTTTGGTGGTGCTTTTATACAGCTGTGTATTTTACACAAATTGAATGAAGTGCCTTACTCACATATACAATTAGTCACTCCTAGTATTTGAGCCCCACACCCTTCCAACTACACATCCAAACCTTACCTACTGCTCCATATCATCATGAAAGCTCACCTACTAATATTTGGTTTGCTGCACAGACCATGCCACTACTTCCCTTCAGCCATTGTCTAACGAGTCTGGAGAAGTGGCATTCAAGTAATACTGCACATACTGTAGACTTAAGGGCCTTTTAAAATGGAACTTCATTGACAAGAAATGGGATCTTTAAATGCAATAGCAGTGCTGAAGACCCTTGTCAGATTGACCAAGCAGTTCTATATTTGTCTCATGGCAGATTAAGGGAGGACAGAAGTGGGTGTGGGTTCAGTTGAGCTTCCCCTACATGCATGATGAGGTGGAATCTTGATTACAAGCATGAGTTACCAGGTTGCAACTTCATTAAAGTCAGAAATCTTGAATGACCCAGGAAGGACTAGGTAATATTCAAATTGAGGAGTGGTAACTAGATTTGGACAATTTCCCCCCAAAACACTATAGTTAGACTAGAAATACCAGCACCCCCCTTTCAGTTACACCCCACACACAGACAACGTTCAGTTCAACATCTTTATTAGGATTGACTTCCATCAGCAGAATGCTCTCTCCACACAGGATACCAGGGGGGAGCCTGAAGAGAAACAATGACAAAACTAAGAACTGAGAAGTTACAACCCCACTACACACAGAGGACCAGATGTACTTGGAGCTCCCTTTGGAACAAGACATTTAGCAGAAACTGGTAAGCACATGCTCAAAGGGGGGTTCCTTGTTTACATACAAAAGAAATGCAGGCAATTGGAAACTCTGGTCCCTCCTTCCTCTCAGTCTCTGGGGCCCTCTCAGATACCCAGATACTGACAGGCGCTATGTCAGGACCCCCTGTCCAGAAAAGGGTGAGGGCCCCAGGGACTGAAGGGTAAGTGTTGGTGGGAGAGATGTTCAGTTCTCATTGTTACTCCTCCTGTTCCATGGTTTTGCTCTAGACTTGAAAATTTTGCTTTTCTACAAGCAGAATTAACTTTTGCTTCCCTGGAAAGTGTCCTTTCAGGCATTTTTCTCTTGCTTGAATGGGAAACATTTTGCCCTTTTCTCAGTTATGAGCTACTACCTTTTTGTCTCCTCAGGGTTCAGCTGCCGTGTCCGAAAAGCTTTTTGTGGGGAAAAAGCTAGTCTTAATAAAGATGATTTTGAACTTGTGTGTTGTGTAACGTGGATCCATTTGTCTCTTAATAGCTTGGGTAAAACGGCTCTTGTATCAATTACAGTAACTGCTCTAAAGACGAGGTTATCTTCACTGCTAGGTAAACTAAGGCATCTTGAAGGATGCTGGGGTACTAATTTACCAAAGCCAGTTCTGACTTCTTCCATAATATTACAACCCTCTAGATCCTTCAATTTAAAAAGTCATGATATTGCTTCTACATTAAGACTTACTCCTCTCATTGATCATACTGAACTATATGTTGATCCCTGATTGTTATTGAGGGTGTTTAAATCTTGCACAGGTTTAGTTCCTTTGCATTGGTTTAAATTGCTTAAACCCTAAATGGACTGTTGAGGGGGGCTTGTAGTTTCCCGAGAAATGGGTTAATTAAAACCTACTGATTCTCACTGGCTAACTGAGGAGCAAACACCATATGGTACCATTTTAGGATTTCTGAGCTATTCTGATACCCCTCCTGTCTCATGGTCACAGATATGACCTGTCAGTTCTCTTATTTTACAATATTCATATGCATGGGTGGTTGCACAAATCCTTATTACAAGGGTTATAAGGAATGGTGGAAGTGTTTTCTATCTGCCAAAAAGCACCTAAATGCCAATGATTAAGAGTTTTACAACAAGTTTTGTGCACTTCATTTACCTTGAACCAAGGCTTCAGAATTGCTAAGACTTCATTCTTTGTGCACAACTCGCCTTACATGCAGTGGATTTTATGCAGTGCCCTGTGTGCTAACTGGTCCTGCACACAAATCAGCTGAGATTTATAACTGAGTTTTCCCCGTCTTGCGGCGAGGGTCAGGGAGCATTGCACTGGCTATTCGATGGCTGGGAGAGATTGGGCTCGGTCGCAAAGGGGTTGTAATTCTAGGAGTGCACCAACTCCTATGCAGTCCGTAGAAATGAATGTTAACTGCATTAATCTGAGCTGAGCCAAGTTTCAGGACGTAAAGCATATACTGTACGTCAACCTGCGTTTCTCGCGGGTGGAAGAGCCGTTTTTTTTATTTAAAATAATTATATTGCATCTCTTGCCTTTCGTTCCTACATGTTTTTTTCTCAAAGTTCACCCCGGCACTGAGCAAGCCGCTTTTGTGCGCTCGTTTGCAAGCAGTACACCGTATTCTGCATTTTCATCACTATACAATATAAATACACGTTCTTAAAATACATTTTAGGTTGGGTGTATGGTGGACGTTTCTGTGAATGGTGTTATGACATCATGCCTACAAAGCCGGAGAGAAAAATATCGTCGCAGGCAGAAAGTCAATAGACCTGAGTGTGAAGGAAAACTATTTTACTATGCTCTGTGTACTAGAACAAGCGAAGGGTTCAGTTTTCGGACTATTTTTGTTATAAGCGCTAAAAAGCTGCAGTTTTTCCAAAGCTCCGCTTTCCTTTCCTACAGGAAGAGACTTTAATCTTAATTCTCCCAGCCGGACGGACACGCCTGGCAGACGGGACAGAGCCTCACTCTTGTCCGGCAGCGATGTGCTACGGGTAGGATAGCGATTGATGTTTTTTTAACGATTTCCTTGACGTGCTACAGTACATGGGCTCCTTTGCGCTGCTGAGACGCTTGTGAAAGCTACGAATCTGCGAGAGCTGATTTCGCACCGCATACAGTATGTACTGTATTCTATCAGGATCTTCTTCGAAACGAAATGGTGCATCTCAATGGGGTTTTATCCTGTCAAAATTTGAAATAATTCGGCTTCCAACTGGCAGCTCTCCGCTGTTGCCTCTGTTACATACAGTAGTTTAATTTTTCGCCAGCTGCCCTGCGGCGCGCTGTCCTTCCCTGTGGAAGCAATCTAGAATAGAGGCGGCCGATAAACTGAATAACACGGATTTCTTTGCTGGCTTTTGCTCGTAACAGAGCGCTCGGCCGCTCTTGAGTTTAAAAAAGTCCAACTATTATGACATTTGATCCGAGCTCTTCAGGAGAGAGCTCTCTGATTAACACGTACGCAGTAGACACCGTACTGTACATCGCCTGTCATATTAACAACCTTGAAGGCGCAATTTGCGTCATCGCAGGTTCACTTTATTTAATGGATTGTTAAATTCAAATCTTTGTATAAGTTTGTAATATTCGATTTACAGTCTATCGCGCTCTAATTTTAAAAGCGGGCTTGTTTATAAAACAATACAGCGTTTAATGGATAACACTGTAGTTACTACTGCAACTCTGTATTATTGTCAAAGTCACACTGTGATCGGTTTAGCTTAGTCCGCTAAAAGGAACAAGTAGATCACGCACCTGTGTGCAGAAAGTGAGAGATCAACTCGTCACGTGATTTCAGCGTCAACACGCAAGCCAAACCTCAGCGCGTGAGTATGGTCTGGCCTCCTTCGCCGCTGCTGATTGGCCCGTAAGGGAGCGCGTGCCACACTGAGCTTGTATATAAACCCCAGTTGTGGTGTGGATTGTCGGTTTTTTTCTGAATGTATTTTTGTCTGAAAATGGGAAGGAGAGGGGGTGTGGTGGAGGCTTTCCTCTTGCCTGGGTTATTAGGATGGCTCTGTGTTGGAGTGGCGCAAGCTCAGCTTGATGGTGTGTGTGTGCTGTTTTTGATCAAGTTGTTTCAGGCTTTGGTTCACCTTCTGTTCCAGAAGATGAGTATGGTGGTAATTTGGATTCAGAAGAAGCCTCCTGAGTGACTGGCTTAAGTAAGGGATATCATAGGAATAATGGGGATTTGATACACAGACTTCTTCCTGAAAGTTAACTGCTCCTGGTAGTGTTCTTTTAAAAACTACCTGATGGCTTATATAATGGAGGATCTTATGGCTTCAATTGCCCTCTGCTGGCTGGAGTTGGGGGGGGATCTCTTTCTATATAGGAAAGACTAACTGGCAGGTTAAGTGCAGTGTGTACAGAGGGTAGACTTAACCTACAGTTATAGTCAAGTTTCTAGGGCAATATGAGATTCACTTGTCTTCAGTGAGCTCTTAATTGTAGTAATTTTAACACTTATTTCCCTTCTCACTTGTGCCTTGTGATGAGCCTGTTTTTACTCTTCCTACTCTGACTCTCAAGGAGGCTCTGAGGAGCAGCAGCAATCCCACAACAGGCCCCTGGTCTACTGCCACAAGAGCAGCATGAGGCTCAAGTTCTTAGAGAGGAAGTACAGCCAGATCTCCCTGCTGGAGGGTGAGGTTCTATGCTGGTAGCTGAATTATAGTTGTGTGTGTGTGTGGCATACTCTGCCTTGAACTCCTAGCAGTACTAGTTCTATGGGAGAATCCTGAACAGTGCAGTACTACTATAAAGGGCTTTTTAGCTGTTTGGATCTAATTCCTCTTTCACAGGCAGGATGGTGCCTCTCTCTGTCCACAGCCTCCCAGAACACTGTGGGCATAAGGTGTGGACGGCCAGGGGTTGGCTGGTTCTGGAGGCTTCCTATGGAGGGTGCTACATCCAGTCCTTGGTAAGGGCCCAGTCTGGGGCTTGATATACCTTTACTCGTGCCTCGCTTGGTAAAGCTAATTTCTGGATGCATGGCTTGCAAAGAAACCTTGATCTTCACACTTTAACAACACCTTGGTTTTTAAATGGGTGTGTGTAATTTCATTGGTGGTAATGTATGATGTAAAGGCACTTTAATTTGCCTATTCTGTAACCCCCTTACTTGTCCCACTGCAGAGTAAGAATGGGGGGCAGCACTACTCCCTGACAGTGAGGTACTATGACCAAGAACAGGGGAGATGGGTGACTGGTACTGTGTCCTGCTTTGTGGCACTTGCTCCTACACCGGCAGCCCCCGGAGGCCTGACCATCTCCTGTGGTGAGCTGTGCATGACGGTGACCCTGCCTGCGGGCCCCCTGGAGGAGATCAAGGTTCAGAGTGAGTGACTGTTTTTGTCTGCTTCAATACGGCATACTTGATGTCCCCTGGAACCCATAACTACACAAGATTCCTGCTAGTAACCAATAAGCTTGCTTGTGCCTCCATTCAGTGTGCTATGAATGTGCTGCATAGGTTAGTATTGCCTGTGAGATGCGATATACTATTTATGTTCTTTGTGCAGATAACTCTGGCAGCCTGGTGTCTGTGCTGGACACTCCATCCTGTGGAACCTCTGTAACCGCAGGGCAGCACCTGAACACCCTGACCATCCTGTACACTAGCTGCCATGTCCTCCTTGTGGTAAGGATCTTCCACTCCTATTGGAGTGTTACATGGTGTCGGTCATACCTGAAGTATGACCCCTGAACAACTTGTTCTTCCAAACACCCGTCTAGTTCAATATTTGGGTAGTGATAGTAGGTGTTCTGATGCAAGACTACTGGCTCTCAACATCTTTGGTGACCACAGATAAAGTACCATGCAGCAGGAATTTTGCATGGAAAGTCTGCTTCAGTTGACTATAGTGGTTGAGCTTGTATTTTGAGAGCCGGGGGGGGGAAGGGAAGACTTCCATCACCTGAGTGTCTGAGGTTGTATATACATTTATGGCTCTATTAAGAGGAGTATAAATTCTCCCTTGGGCTTAGAAACTTATATAATACTCCCTTCCATCCAGTGGTTTGACTATATACAGTTCTTCCTGTACCAAGCATGACTTATCACTGTGCAGCCCAATGTACTATCGCCTATGTATGACCTCTGAAAATGATCTAAACCCGAGACCGGGTAGTAGTACGTGGAGGAACAGGCCATACAAGTCCAGGTTTCCTTTGCATCACAGTAGTGCAATACTGCAATTGTTCAGGGTTTCATTCTGTGATGGAATAAGGTGATTATCCAGGTGTTCTGATAGCTGGCTGTGAACTTCTAAGACAACTGCTCATCTTGACCCATTGGATGACTTTCAGATTCACTATTTCATGCAGGACCTGGAGTACACTGTGAAGGTGGTGTACATTCCTAATGATGGCCCAAGAGGGGAAATTGTGGTGTCCTGTCCTTATCGCCCCTACAAACCCAAGAAGGGTGAGTGAACAGTTTGTCTAAAAACCATCCATAGAAGATGGCAGTGCTGATATGTCAAATATGATTACCCCAGGCTGCAAGCTTCCCAGGAGCTATCAGGTGGCCTGTGGTCCAGGGAGAATTTCTCCAGCCCACTGCCTGGCCAAGGGATGCTGTGTGGACCCTGAAACATCCTCTTGCTACTATCCACTGGAGGGTAGGCCTCTCCTTACTGATCCACCTTCATGACCAGAAACATGCAGATCCTGACGTGCCTTTCTCTTCCCAGAGTGCACTGCCGACAGGCACTTTGTCTTTGCTGTGCGTCGGGCCATCTCGATACCCCCTGTGGATCCTGCCACCCTGGTGATTGCTGGCAACACATCCTGCACCCCTGTCATCTGTACCCCAGATATTGCCATCTTCAAATTCCCTGTCACTGGCTGTGGGACCCATGCTTTTGTGAGTAGATGGATTAAAGTGTCTCTAAACTAATTCCTTAACCCTCTTCGGACCTGGAACGATGAGGGCAAGTAGGTTAAATATCTTGGAAAGACCAGCGAGTCCAATGGATAATTACCCTGTGTTGAGTGCGCCTTTCTTTAAGGTGGTGGGGGAGACTACCATCTACCTAGCTGAAGTGGAGTCCCTGGCTAGACGCAATTTCCAGAGCTATGGAGTAATTACTAGGGACAGCCCCTTAAGGTGAGCAGGGCTTTTAAGGTGAATGGTCCTCAATAGCCTGTCCAGGTTATACTTAACTCATAACTACCTTGATTGCTGATCCATTGCTTGGATGGAACAAACACCGAAGCATCAATTCTTTCTGTTGCTCTCCAGACTGCTGGTGGAGTGTCGCTATGCTGAGGGAAACCTGGCCAGCTCGGGCTACCTGGTGAAGATTTCCAACCCGCCCTCTACTGTCCTGTCCCGGGGAGTATTTGGGGTGCAGCTCCGGATTGCAACAGGTGATGCGTGTTGTCTTATGCTTAACAGCCAGAAGAGGGAAAATAGCCAGGAAGTTATGGTTTGGATTGTATAGAGTCAACATGATTCATACTGTACCTACAGTATAAAGCACTACACAAACTTATCCATCTAGACGAGAGCTACACCAGGTTCTACCCTCAGTACCACCGGCCCCTCCGGCTCCTGCTGGGGAACCCAGTCTACCTGGAGGTGCGACTGCTGAACGCTCCAGACCCCAACCTGGTGCTGCTGGTGCACTACTGCGTTGCCTACCCCCGCTCTGGCCAGGCTGTCTGGGTGCTGCTCTATGATGGGTGAGGGGCTCCTACTTGTGCAGCTCTAACCCTGTGCTGGTCAGTGGGTTGCAGGCAGGGTCCTGATCTTGGTGCCTCTCTCTGCAGCTGCCCCAACCCTCTGGACTACGGCCACACGTCCACCCTGCACATCCACTCCAAGCTGCCTCTGCCCAAGCACCACCGCCGCTTCCACATCCAGACCTTCCAGTTCCTGGACAGCACCTCCTACTCCTACGTCAATGAGGAGGTGAGGCTTTTTGAGGATGCATGTACAGTAAAACTACATGCTGAGTTATGTTTATCCCTTCTTTAAAATCCCTCTTCCTGTCCTCCAGATCTACTTCATGTGCTCCACAGAGCTGTGCCTACCCTCTGAGCGGCAGTGTATGGAGGGCTGCTTTGATGGCCGCAGTGAGTCAACGTGTTATGCTGTTTCTCTTGTTCTGATCTCTACAGTTGAATATAAGGCATTGATCCACAATGTCCCTTTTTTTTTTGTGATTTTTTTTTGGGGGGGGGTGGGCATCCATATTTTTCACTTGTTTTTATAATTACCTTTTTTCATTGTCTAGCCTAACCCTCTCATTTTATTATTCAGAGATCCCAATGCTGGAGAACCCAGATCCTGACAACCACTGTGTCAAGATGCCCTGTCCAGCAAAAGATGTGAGCCCTAGAGACTGAGGGACAGTTGGGGGTGCTGTTGTAAAAAGCTACCCTATCAAAACAAACTTTATAGCCCTGCAATATGGCTGTTGTCTTCCTTGATTGATTGTACAGTTTTTCTAGAGTACACTGTAGGTCACAGGTTTCTTATGAAAATTCATCTATAATGGATGAGACTGAGCCTATTAGCTTTCTGAAGCTCTTTCTCAAGCCCCTTCTCTCTACAGGCTGAGCCAGGGCCTGGCAGTATCTCTGGGAGAAAGTCAATCCTAATAAAGATGGTGCTCCACTTGCTTTTGGCTGCTGTGTGATTTGAAGTGGGGTGGTAGCGTTGAGGAGCTCATATGGAAGTCTCTCCTGTTCAATTGGGAATTAAGTCTTTTATATGCAAACTGTACCATTACTACTGCATGGGGAACACCTGTCCAAAAAAAAAAGGTATTGTCTTCTACCATTACCTACCTGCTGAAATATCTCAGCCTTTACATTTCTCTGTACCATAGGGGGCTGGTGTTGTGCCTTTGACATGGTCCAATGGTGGTTATTAATCTTCCATTAAAATAAGGTTGTTGTAAGAAATGGAAGGACTTTCACTAGTGTGAGAAGTTCTAAGGGGGGTGTGGCTGAAGCTTCTCTGTCCTTTGTTTTTTTTTTTTCTCCACCCAACTTTTAAGGTGGTTTTCTGCATCACTGTTTTAAACCCATTCTCAATCGCTGGGCCTGGAGGTTAATTCCCACCATGTATCCCAACACCTGCCTCTATGGTGTTCAATAGCTTCAGAAGGTGTATTTGTTTCTATGCAATGTGTGTTCGCACTGCACTACTGTAGGTGCAAGGACTAAACCATTGCTGTATCAAATAGGAAGTCTGCCCAAACTTTTGGTATAGGGTTTACTTAAAAACTTTACAAGTTGATGGAAGTAAGGCAAAATTGTGCTCTAACCAACCATAAGCTTTCCAAGCTGTGCTGGGGTCTGTGAGGGGTTTTGTATGAAACAGGTGCTTACAATTGTCTAGCACCAGCAATTAAATGGCCTTTATTGACAGCAAAATAAAACAGTTTTATGAAATGGCAAAAGCGGTTTCTTTGTAGTATTATCCATTTCCATAACTGAGAAAATGGCCTGCACAGGTGGAGAAGAACTTCTTAGTATCCCTGAGGGTTTGGAGATGTGTATACTGTATATAAGGGGCTCTTCACTCCTCACTGGAGAGTGTAGATTGTTTCAGAAGATGGACTGGATCCATTGTTGGATTTGTAAGTATAATTATAATCATGTAATAGGTTTATTCCATGCTGAAAAAAAGAAGAAAGAGAACACAACGTTTCGGCCGTGGAGCCGTTTTTGTGTTCTCTTTCTTCTTTTTTTTCAGCATGGAATAAACCTATTACTTGTTCCTTTGCAGCCTACGCATGCTGACGCAGCTACCCACCTAATTATAATCATTATGTGGAGGGGGTGGAACTGCACACTATCAACAGTATTACTAAATGCAGTAGTGTTTTTTTTGTTTGCACATGCATAATTATTATTTATTTTTTTACTGTTGCTGTATACATGGATTTTGTAATGGTGAGAGGTTTGCGTGTACTGCCTGAGCCCCACCAGCACGCTTCTTTTCCTTAGCCAGGGAGCGAGCAGGGTGCCGGTGTGCAGATGTAGCGTAAGGCGAGTCTTCTCTGCTATATACAATGATGAGTCTTTCCACTAAAGTGGAAAATAATAGTTCATTAGCAGTTTCACTAGAACATTGGTTCTGAGCTGGTTCAACCCCATTGGCGATCTCGTGGGGATCTTAAATAGTAAACCTGATGAGCTTCGCTCTGCGGAGTAAAGGGTGCAGGGGGAGGTGTGCTCCACTGTCACAATTTTTCTATTATTTTTAGAAATGTAACTGGTAATGAGGTATATCTCATAGAAAGGAAAGGTAAAGCAACATTGCAACCATTGTGATGTTTCAGGTATGTTAAGAGTATTGATGAAAATAGTAATAGTTAAATAGTCTGTGATGTAGAAAAACATCACATTTATATAACAATGTTGCATTTTTAGGTATTTTTCAACCTTTGTGGAGCTCTTCACAGACCAGAGAGTTTCTTTGCTTACCTGACAAAAATAAGAGACTTGGATTTTCTAGTCTCGGGCAGTATCAGAACAACCCTTTGTCTACAGAGCATTTGAATCCATAGCTCTGTGAATACACAAATGGAAATGAACAAGTTATAGGTTTATTCAATGCTGAAAAGAGAAGAAAGAAAACACATTTTGGCCGTGGAGCCTTCTTCAGGTGTGTGTCATTTTTTCATTGTGCCAGGCAGATTGTCCTAATCCTCTGTAATCAAAATGTTATTCTTACTTTCATTTTATAATGGGATCAATAACCATACAGCAGTGTGGTAATAGAATTGCTCTTTTGATAGTCAAAAAAGCATAATTTCACTATTCTTAAAGACTGCAAGAAAAAAAAGGTGGGGGGTCCCCACTAACAGGTCAGGGTGGGAACATGAGACCACTGACCAGCATAGGGAAACAAGCCACAAACCCGTGTCCTCATCCCCTCACCCTGAGTCCCAGGAGTAAACAATATCCCTGATACTTCCAAACTATCCCAAGGTTTTATCTATCCCAGCATGCTCGCCTGAGGCTGACATCACCAACCCCATTGCTTGTCTGCTCAGTGCAACATCACTGCCTGATGAGGGTGCTGCAATATTTTTTGTTATGTTTTTATTTTCAGTGAGGACACTGAAAAATTCCCCCACCCCCTTGACCAGCTGGATTCCTGAAATCAGTCAGGGAAAAAAGGAGACCAATTCCCACCTCTCCACCATGTAGCCCCACACATGCCTGCAGGGCCTGTTGTGCACAGGAGAGTTGTGCACCCCCTCCCCCACAGGCACCTAACCCAAGGACAGGTGGAGAAGCACAGGAGAACAAGAGGGGGATCTTTAATTCAGGTTCTATCCTGCAAGCAACTTCAGGGCTCAAGCGGACTCATCTAAGACGCACACTGCACTTCAACTTTACCGACTGTTTTTAGCACAAGTGTCTTGCAAAGCCTGTGCACGATCACAAATAAATATGGTAGGAAAAAAAAAAGTGGTGTGGCTTTTTTTGCAAAAAGATAAGGTCCAGGTTCACCTTAATGCCCCTGATGAAGATGAGGAAAATGATAAAGAAAGGAAGCTCAGCTGCGTCAGACCCCTTCTTGATTCCCTGATCCTGGCCTGACAGTCCTACTGCCACCCCCGACAACACATTTCAGTCGGTGAGGGTGGCCTCAAAGGGCAGGTTTGGTTTCAAGCCGTCTGTGAAGTCAACCAACAAAATGGAGTTTTGTCCTTGCTGATGCCACAAACGCAGCCAGTTCCTAGTATAAGTGTTACCATCACTCTGCTCTCTTCCCCACCACGAGCTGCTCAGTGGCAAGTGTACTGGCATACTATGGCTGCTGTCACATCATCCAGGTGGGGGCTGCACACTGGTGGTGGTGGGAAGTCCCCCATCACCTGTAACGTGCTTTGAGTGGTAGTCTAGAAAGACACTATATACGGTAAGTGTAAACAATTTTTATTATTATTTACAGCTTCAACATTTACACTGGGAAAACCGTCAGATACTGGGAAAGGGCTAAGTTACTGTATGACTTGGTCCTAGACTGAGGGGTCAAACCTCAGCAAAGGGCATCACCTGCACATTGATGATTATTATACAAGCACTCCCCTTTTTTTCAGGACCTGTAAAGGGCAGTGGATATATTTGGAAAAGGTGGAGACAGGGAAAGGGCGTTGTTAGAAATGGGTGGGATTCAGTGGTTTAAAGCATTTGCATATAACGAGACCTGATTAAATGTGCTCTGATTCATGTACATTGTCTACCGTTAGCAAGCTTTTGTAACGCCCTTGACAGATACGAAATTCTATACTGTATATGATTCTAGTATTACAGTATCAGCATATACTTGGCAATTTGGGGCATTTCAAAATCACCCAGAAAACACCAACTTTATTTGATATAGTGCCTTTAAAAGCATGTTCTCAACATGCTTTATAGGAAAAGAACATCTTGTCTATTATTAACTGCTTCTCACACAGCAGATGTCCTGGCATTTACATCCATGTGACAAGGGAAGGACTGGCTGACCATTTCAGAGAACATGTCAGCATCCATCCATTTCCTTACCACTTTTCTTTTCCCGATTTGGTCCAAGTGGAGCTGGATCCTATCTCAGCAAGCAATGGCCTCAAGGTGGGATACTGCACATGGATAAGACAGAGACACAAAGATACACACACTCTAAGGCTAATTTTCCTAGAAACCAGTTAACCGATGAGCACATCTTTGGATTGCAGGAGGAAACTGAAGCACCTGGAGAAAACACACCAACATGCAAAATAATCTGAGCGCACTGCTGTCCTGACCACTGTGCCGTGGTGCCACCCCCAGCAAGATGAAAGATCTCTTTAAGCTGGTGGGTCCCGATTTCACCTCTCCCACACACGCTTTCAGTGATCCGTCTTTAGGACTCTTATTCAAGAAAAACAGCAGTAACAAAGATTATCCTTAAACCAAGACCAGAATTTCTTCTTCATAACCTACAAATTTCTTCATTTTCACATTCCACCATCTCCCTCTTTACAGTACATACACTCTTACCTGTGTGCCTATTCTCACCTGTTCTGTCCTTTGTACTTGTGTACTTAATATCCCTGCTACCTTCCTCTTTTTCCCCTCAACCATAGAAAAGGTTCAACAGCCAAAATGTCTCCTATTTTTCAGCATGCATAATTTCACTATTCCAGATGTGTAGGTGCATTGGAGGACAAGATGAATACAAATTGGCCATGACACTTATGGGTTGCAACAGGGTATCTGAAACAGGAGCGAAGTGCATTTTACTACAATAGCGGATGCAGAGTGAAGACATCTCAGTATTTGAATCCTGTGCATTTACTACTCAGAATATAGCTAGCAGGCCCAGCAATATTTATATAGTAGCCATGACCAAGACTCCCAAAACATTGTATAAATAAGTTTATTCCATGCTGAAAGGAGAAGAAGTCTCCACAGCCAAGATGTTTTTCTTCTCTTTTCAGCATAGAATAAACCTTTACGTGTTCCTTTGCAGCCTATGCAGGCTGACGCAGCTATCCCCTTGAACTATTACATAAATGATCAGCATAAATGTGAGAAAACCTTGAACAATGCAATACTGACTGACTATCTCACTTAACCACAAAACTGCTTTTTGTTGTGAAACACTAAGGGCACATGATGAAATTGCTCAGAGAGGTTTATGTCTGGTTAATTAAAAGTAACACCTCTGGGATCAGACTGCATAATAGCAGTAAGGAATGCAAGTACTTAAAAAGCTGTTTTTGCACTCAGAAAATCCTATTACACCACAGCCTGATGAGGCTGACAGCTGCAGTGCAAAGAGATCAAAGGGCAGGGGCTGGGTGATCCTTGGCTGTCTGTGGCGAAAGCTAAGGTACAGGAACTCAGAGCCCACTAGAAATAGTGGATCAGGAAACGTGGTTTCAGGCTTTCTGGTTATAGGTCTCAGGTTACCATTTTCAGAATTCTGAGTTTTCAGGCTCTCAAGCTGAGGTGTTCCTTGGAGGAGAGAGTGTAACACTTTCTGAAAAAGCACACAATGTCAGAGCAATATCTACAGGTATTTGTTCAAACAAGGTTTATTGCAGTTGGTAATGATTTGAGTATAACCAAGTGACTTCTTCATTTACTATCAATAGAATGGTAAATCATGGTGTTCACTGTACATAAGATACAGTATATGGAGGATATTGATGTATGATTGCATAGTTCTTGAGATTTTGGTTTTAAGTCTTTTCCTGCATTCCTTGTTAAACAGTGGTCCCAAATGAATGGCCTTCTCTGGTGTTGGGGAATCTTTGAGAAGACTACTTATAGCCAAGTGGTTTTATAGCCATCTATGCAACACTCATCTTTCCTTGAGAGTGTGGTTCACAGGTGTCAGCACAAGGAATAAACATGCAGAGATGTACTGTAGACATACCAAATTCTTACCTAGAAGAGAATACAAACACCCCACTATCAAATAGTATGACTTACTATGGTTAGAGAATAACCTGTGCCATTTAAAACCCATTACAAACACTGTACTTCAATTCCTGCTGAAGCACTTGTACACAAGACTTCCACCATAACTTAATTCAGATTACACTATTTCTACACCTCTGCAAGCCAAAGCTAACAGCCCTCACTGTCCATGGAAACAGGTTGCATTTGCACATGAAGTCAAGCATCTCCTGGAGTCGCGAGAATTCAGTCAGATATATTAACCATTGATTGGGGGCATGTGGTTAAATTAATCTCATTTAGTTCAAAATATTTAAATAAATCTGCCTCTTGGCCAGTATGCCATCACTGAGCTTTCTTCTGCTGAAGAACTGTTTGCAGCACAATATGCTTGAACTCCACCCACCTATTTCCTGAACTATGCTGCCAGCCAGCTCCTCAGCTTTGCTTCTTACCAGCTGTCTTGTGCTAAGCCCCTGTATTTCAGTCTTCCTTAGCAGCCCATCTTCCCTGTCCTGTCCCATTAGCAATGTCTTACCTTCAGTATTTGAGCAAGCCAACTCTAGTGCATATGCTACTTGGCAATCTCTGCTCACCTTTGCAGCAATTGTTAGGCTCTCTGGCAGCTCTATTTCTCCAAACCTTCTCTTGGATTCCTCAGCCCATCCAGCAGATCCTGCTCTCTCCATGAGCAGGGTGGGTGCTATAATTAGTCACCCCTGCATGTGGATATTGCAAGTGACATAGCTGCACTGAGGAACAAGAGATGTTGATCAGATTGAGGAGTCCAGAGCCAAGCTTCATGAACCAGTGCCTTCACTTGATATTTTAGTTGAAGAAATAACAACCATGAGATGCAGAAAGGGGGGGTTAACTCTTCCACATCAGAATAAACAAAGGGTGAAGAGAAAACCCTACCCTTTAGAATCTTAATGTTTGGGAAGCCATACCCATCCCCCACATCCTTTCAATTCACCAGTACACAAAGTCAAGTTCAACACCATCTTTATTAGGATTCAATTTAATGAACAGCCCTTTCTTCAGGCATAGCTGCCACATTCCAGTAGAACCTAAAAAAAAAAAAAAAAAAGGACAAAAATAGGAAGTCATGCTCTTGCAACCTGACCAGTGGTCCAAACCCAGTGCCTGCAGACTGAGTTTGCTAGTTTAAAACATTTAACCCCTTCTAGATAAGGGTCATCAAATGAGTGTAGGTGTTCCACATTCCATCCTGGTTTATAATGGAATATTTCCTTCTAAGCTAACAGAAGGATAGCTTTTTGTTCTTGTTCAGATGACCCAAAGTGTTAAGTCAACCAGCTAGTGCACCTGTCTCAGTCCTTGGGGCCCTCATCCTTTCCTGGGCAGGGAGTCCTGACACAGCGCCTGTCAGCATCAGGGCTCTCCAGCACTGGGATTTCTGTAAGAGAAGAGCCATTACTGAATACCAGTGAAAAGAATTGAACCCTACCTTCTCTTAAATAAGCAATTCTCCTAAAGATGCCACTCATGTCCACTATCTAGGCCACCGTCTGATTTTCACATGAGTGCTGGAAGTTAGACTCACTGCGGCCATCAAAGCAGCCCTCCACACAACGGCGCTCAGATGGTAGACACACCTCTGTGGAACACATGAAGTAGATCTGGAAGAGGGATTTTAAAGTGGGGGAGGGGGAGATAACCATTAAAACTCAGCATGTGGCTCCACATGGATCCTCTATTGAGATTGCATTTCCAAAAAGCCTCACCTCCTCATTGATGTAGGAGTAGGAGGTGCTGTCCAGGAACTGGAAGGTCTGGATGTGGAAGCGGCGGTGGTGCTTGGGCAGAGGCAGCTTGGAGTGGATGTGCAGGGTGGACGTGTGGCCATAGTCCAGTGGATTGGGGCAGCTGCAGAGAGAGGCACCATGATCAGGACCCTGCCTGTAACCCACTGCCCAGCACAGGGTTAGAGCTGCACAAGCAGGAGCCCCTCACCCATCATAGAGCAGCACCCAGACAGCCTGGCCGGAGCGGGGGTAGGCAACACAGTAGTGCACCAGCAGCACCAGGTTGGGGTCTGGAGCGTTCAGCAGTCGCACCTCCAGGTAGACTGGGTTCCCCAGCAGGAGCCGGAGGGGCC